TTTGTTTTTTTTGTAACAGTTGTCTTGATGGTATAAGGTAGTATTTCATTGTGGTTTTGATTTGCATTTTCCTAATAATTAGTCATACTAAACATCTTTTCATTTACTTATATATAAGATTCTCTAGAACAATGTCTATTCAAGTCCTTTGCCCATCTTTTAACCAGGGCCTTTTATTTGTTACTGAATTTTAGGAGTGCTTTATATATTCTAGGTATTAATTGTTTACTAAAATACATGATTTACAAGTTTTTTCTCCCATTTTATGTCTTGCCTTTTTACCCTGTTGATAGTGTCTTTGATAGTCAAAGTCGTTAATTTTGATGAAATCAAATGTCTTTTTTTTTAAGTTGATTATTTAGTTATAGTTGTCGATACCTTTATTTTATTTATTTATTTTTATGTGGTGTTGAGGATCGAACCCAGGACCTCGACTGATGAGCCACAACCCCAACCTCAAATGTCTTTATTTTTGATAAGATAAAATGTCTTTTTCTTTTTCTTTTTTTTCATGCTAGAGATTGAACGCAGGACCTCACACGTTCTAGAGAAGGGTTCAACCGTTGAGTTACACTGTCAACCCTGCTAGTTTTTGTTGCCTGTGTCTCTGGTATCCTATCTAAGAAATCATTGCCAAATTCATTATTGTGAAAGTTTCCTCTGTGGTTTTCTTCTCAGAGTTTTCCAGTTTTAATTTAGGTATTTGATCTGTTTTGAGTTACTTTTTGTATATGTTGTCAGGCAAGGAAGGGTCCATCTTTATTCTTTGCATGTAAATATTTAGTTTTCCCAGCACTGTTTATTGTTACTTCTTTTCCCCATTCAGTAGTTTGGGACCTTTGTCAAAAATAATTTGATCATATATATGAGGATCTATATCTGGATTCTCTGTTGGTCTGTATGATTGTTCTTATGGCAATACTGTACTGTGTGTTATTAGTGTACCTTTCTAGTACGTTTTGAAATAAGAGTCCTCCAACTTTTTTCTTTTTAAAGATTGCTTAGACTATTTAGGATCCCTTGGAATTTCATATCAATATTAGGATGGATTTTCTTTCTCAGAAAGAAATATTTGGTAAGGATTGTATGGAATCCGTATATTCACTTTGACTAGTACTGACAGCTCAACAATATTAAATCTTTCAATATATTCACATAGAGAATCTTTCCATTTATTTGTGTATTTTTTTCATTTCTTTCAGCAGTGTTTTGTAGTTGTTAATGTATGTCTTTCACCTCCTTAGTTTGGTTTCAGGTTTTTAAAATTAATTTTGATAGTATTAGGAATAGAATTTTTTCGTTTCCTTTTCTGATTTTCCATTGCTGGAATATAAGTGTATAACTAATTTTTGCAGATTGTTTTGTTTTCCTGTAACTTTGTTGAATTTGATTTTTCTAACGGTGTTTTTTGTTTTTYTGTTTGTTTGTTGTGAAATCTTTAGGGTTTTAGACTTAAACGTTTAAGGACAGACAGTTCAGTTTAACAATCTCAATTGACTTTATTTTTTATTCTAGAATTCAGCAATACTTCTTTCCATAAAACAAAATAAATGTTTTAATGAGCAGAGCAGGGAATTTTGGTTTTATAGACAGGAAAGGGCTGATAAGCAGAAACAAAAAACAAAAAGTTGATTGGTAATTTCAGAGTTACTTTTTATTATGAGCGAGGGACTGGAAGACAGAGCTAAGAAAGATAACTTCAGGTTACCTTTTTAACATTAAGAGTAAGACTTATCATGCCAATTGAAACTAACCTGTTTGAGAAAATTGGCTCTTACCTTTCTAATCCTGATTTCTGGGAAAGTCACGTAAACACTTGGTTTCTTTGTGATCACATGGAATTTTAGTCTAAGTGATTCCACTTTGATTTTTTAGCTTGCTGTATTTGAGTTTAGTATAGGAGCTTACTCCAAAACAATAGTCTCCTGCAATTTTTACTTAGCAAACTCTTATGTTTTATTCTCTAATGTATAGGCCTACTTGATATTGCTATGGGAGTAATGTTTTACTTCTCCCCAGAATACTTCGCATTTCATTTGTTGATAAAATATAATAGGAAATGCTTATTTGTACATTAAAAAGAGGTATTGGTTGGGAAATGGTGTAAGAAATGAAGGATGATTTATTCACCTAGGTAGTAAATAAATATTGACTAGCTCTGGAAGGTAAGAGCAGGGGGTTCATATCTGTGATACATATAGAATTTATACAAAAGAATGAAAGAAATAGGAAATGCTTTATCAGATTTTATCTTGCTGCTAGGAAAATGTTCCAGTGGCATGTTTTTTAAAATACATTTTTTAAACATACAGTTTCCTTTTTCCTTTCTTAATTTCATGCACTGAAATTAACTCTTGTCTTTTGTAGTGTCAGCATTACAGTTCTTGACTCAGGCCAGGAGTAGTAGCACATACTAATCCCCATGGCTCTGAAGGCTGAGGCAGTAGAATCACAAGTTCAAGGTTAACCTCAGCAACTTAGCAAGGCCATAGCAACTGAGTGAGACCTTGTCTAAAAATAAAAACATAAAAAGGGCTGGGATGTAGCTCAGTACAAAAAAACCCTGGTATTTGATTCATTACCAAAAAGAAAGAAAGAAACTCTCAACTCAAAATTTAAAACCCATCTGATACATATTTTTGGCACACCTATGCTCCATAATACATACTATAAGTTAATGAATTGTTATGCATTTATTAGCTAATGTTTTCTGTTATGCTATGTTACAGGATCATAAACAGGGATTGTTACTGTTTCACTCGAATCTATAGCTGAATGATTAGTATTATACACTTTTATTTCAATTTTTCTTGAATGAGAATTTTGCCCTTAGATCACATGATTAAAAGAAACCAGTCTCAAATGCATTGGAACCCCTCCCCCCACTCCCACCCCCATACACTGGGGATTGAACCCAGGGACATTGTACTATTGAGTTCCATCATCAGCCATTATTTTTTTATTTCAAGACAGAGTCTCAGGGCTGGGGATGTGGCTCAAGGGGTAGCTCGCTCGCCTGGCATGCGTGAGGCCCAGGTTGGATCCTCAGCACCACATACCAACAAAGATGTTGTGTCCGCCGAGAACTAAAAAATAAATATTAAAAAGCGCTCTCTCTCTCTCTCTCTCTCTCTCTCTCTCTCTCTCTAAAAAAAAAAAAAGAGAGAGAGAGAGACAGAGTCTCAATGAGTTGTTACACCTGCCCTTGACCTTGATATCCTCCTTCCTTAGCCTCTGAAGAGCTAGGATTACATGTGTGCACCTCTGAGCTCCACACACATACTTTGAATTTTAAGTGTACCTGATGACATGTTTTCAAAAGGAAAGCATAAAAAACTCTAAAATAATTATGATTAAGATTTTCTTTCTAATTTTTTTTACTTAGATACTTTTTAGGTATTTCTATTAAGRTCTAACATTTAATTATGACTGATTATAATTTATATATTACATAGTTCCTATTTTTCTTTTACTAGAATCTAACGGCAGGTCCCAAAAATCCAAACTTCTATCAGGCATTAAGTGTACTCTGGCAAGTAGCTTGTGATGTTAAGCTTCTGCATGTGGTGAGTAAAATTATATATTCTAAGAGATGATTGTATTATATTTCAGAGACTAAGTATTAAGTACAGATTATGTACTAAAGATTGCYTTAAAAGATTAATTTTTATTATTTTTTCCAACTATTGAAGGTTATGGGGCAAGTTAGCTTTGTGAAAGAGATTCTTTGTGACAAATTTATTTTTTCTTATCATAAAAATAATATATGATAGTTGTAAAAATAGGAAGTACATTTCACTATAATTTAATTATTTTTATTTTCCTTTTTCTTTTCCCCACTTTTGTAGTCATGGGGATTGACAGAGGGACACTCTACCACTGAGTTATATCTCCACCCCTTTCCTTCTTATTGCTTTTTTGGTATTGGAGATTGAACCCAGGGAACTCTACCACTGAGCCACATCCCCAAGCCCTTCTAATTTTTTATTTTTAGACAGGGTTTCACTAAGTTGCTTAGGGCCTAACTAAATTGCTGAGGCTGGCCTCAAAATTGTGATACTCCTGCCTCAGCCTCCTGAGGGGCTAGGATTATAGGAGTGACCCACCACACCAGACCCATTTCTTATTTTTTGAGTCAGCGATCTCACCAAATTGCCAAAGATGGCCTAAAACTTTCGATCCTCTGCCCAACTTCCTGAGTCTCTGAGATTGTAGGTGWGCACCACTGCACCTAGCTCAATTACTGTAGTTTTTAACCCAGAAGTCAGTGTTGATTGTGACCTGTTTTCAGTTTTTTATTATTATCCCTGTGCTTCTTTCTTGATATAGTGGAGTTTTTCTTCATTTATTTATTTATATTTTGACTTAATAGGCAATTATTGTAAACTTTTTCCTTTGTCACAAAACATTTTTAAGTTTTTAATGGCTACTCAATTGTTCAATGTAGAGCATGCCCTTTTTAGTTATCTTAAGTAAGATTATAGTTGTCTAATAGAAAGATAGTGTGAGCCATTATGTAGCTTTTCATTTTTTAATAGCCTCATAAAAAGTAAAAAAGAACAGGTGAAATTAATATTATATTGTATTTATCCACCTGTCAAGTCAGATTATTGTCAGGTCAGTATGTACTTAATATTTGCATTGTTACATAATTTATGTTTTTTGTGTTTGTACTCAGCCTTTGAAAATCCACCATGTTTCATACAATTACAGCCATGTCAATTCTGGACACATTTCAAATGTTTAATATATACATCTTGCTAGAAGCTATTAATACATTTAATATCAGAAGGCTGGAATATGAGGAAAAAATGATAAGCACTATTCCTTTCATACATAATTTGCCCTTTTTTTGCCCTGAGCTGCTGGGATTACAGGCTGCCCATTCTCTTACTTATTTTAGTAGACCAGATTATCTATCAAGTAGTTTTTATAGGATGTATACAGTCAGTTATCTGTGTCCTGTCCTCTATATCCATAGAGTTAACCAATTGCAGATAGAAATACTTGGAAAAAAATTATGACTCTACTGAACATGTATAGACTTTTTTCTTGTCATTATTCCCTAAATAATATAGTACGACAAGTATTTACATCATATTAGCTATTATAAACAGTCTACAAAGATGATTTAAAGTACACAGGAGGATGTGAATRGGTTATTTGCAAATAATGTGCCATTTTGTATGAGGGACTTTTGGATCTACAGATGTAAGTTTTGGAAGGGGATCCTAGATCAATTCCACAGATACAATGGAACAATTGTAGTTATATATTTTTTAAGGCCTTGTGTTTCTAAGAATGTATTGGTTTAAGTTTTAAATTTTGTAGTGTGTGTCTCCATGTAGTCTCTTCCCTACTTTTGTCCAGGAACTTGGTAAGCCCTTTTATTTGCATTTTTTAGTTTAGGAATGTTACCTTATTTTAGTTGAAATTTTGTTCCAATTATTTTTCCTTCTCCAAAACACAGGTATGTTGGGTCCTTGTCTTTGTCTTTGGTATCAATCATGTTCTCATCATTTTTCTCAAGTCCCAGAGTCTTTTTATACTTAATCTTTACATTACTATCCTGTAATCTCCATACTGTAGTTCTTGGTTTGCCTAACCCCTTCCTTTCCCCATTCTTATCTCATCTATTGGCTTTTAATCTCAGCCTTCTCTGTCCTCATAGCTTTCAGCTAGTATCTTCATGGAGGCCTCCTAAGGACTTTGGCTTTCAGGTTAATATTTCCTTCTTCCTGTTCTTTAGTATTTGTTTTCAAAAGTCCTGTGTGATAGTTAGGTGTTCATTGCTGTGACCAAAGTACTTGACAAGAACCAACTTAGAGGAGGAAAACTTTATTTTGGGTTCAGTTTCAGAGGTTCATTCCATGGGCATTGCAGAGGAAAACTGCTCAGTTTACAGCAGCAGGAAAGCAGAGAGTGGGAGGAGCCAGGGAGACAAGATATTATTCCKAAGGGCACACCCCCAGTGACCCACCTCCTCCATCCATGCCCCACCTGCCTACAGTTACCACCCAGTTGATCCATTCAAACCAGGATAGACTGATTAGGTTACAGTTCATAATTTATTCATATCACTTCTGAATATTCCTGTGTTGACACAAGAGCTTTTGGGGAACACCTCATATTCAAACCATAACATCCTGTATTAAATTTTGCCATTTATTAACCTTGAGAAAAGAGGGCACTTTCTGAACAGAACATTTTTTTCAGCACTTGCTGCATTGTAAATCTATAATTACAAAGCAGACATTTAACTCATTTCCCAAGGTCTTGAAGATTTTCTTCTACTGTGGCTTTGGCAGGCAAAAGTGAAGTGTCCTTTGCTCCCACTGCTATATCCCAAACTGCTGTGGCTTGACCAACATTGCCTGCTGTGCACYCTTCCCAGGGCTTTGCCTTTCTCTACTTAAAATGATGTTCCTAGAACTGCTAGGAATTTCACAGTTGGGTAACAATTGTATTTTCCATTCCACTTCCATTCCCACCACAGTTAATAATAAATTATCACTTCTGACAGTAGCCTTTCAAACCTTATGTTTGACATTTTTTAGTCTTTTTAAATCTGTGTCAGATGCTCTTCTAACCCAGTCCTATTTTGAAATTTTATATGTATATAGATATTTTTAATATAGAGAATTATTTTTCAGTTGGTTTTTTTAATATTTATTTTTTAGTTGTAGTTGGACATAATACCTTTATTTCACTTATTTATTTTTATGTGGTGCTGAGGATCGAACCCAGAGCCTCCCACGTGCTAGGCAAGCACTCTACCACTGAGCCACAGCCACAGCTCTCAGTTGGGTTTTAAGAATTACTTTATGCACTAAATTGTACATGGAAAAGTTAGAGCTGGGCATGGTGGTGCACAACTATGATCCCAGTGGCTTGGGAGGCTGAGGCAGGAAGATTGCAAGTTCAAACCCAGCCTCAGTAGCTTAGCGAGGCCCTAAAGGAACTTAGGGAGACCCTGTCTCTAAATGTCTGAATATATTCAAATCAGTTTGAATAATAGGCTTTTATACTAAAATAGGACAAAAAAAATCCTTGCTATTGATATGATCTCCCTTAAACTGTTGATTCTGACTCTAGTATGAAAATGTTGGCTTTTGTGGTTCACACCATGTGTGGGACATGCCTTCCTCAAACCGCATTACTGTCCTGTGTACATGGTATCTATTCGACATGAAAAAATTATGACTTAAGAACCTGTTTGTGGGTTGGGGTTGTGTAGAATGCTTGCCTCTCACATGTGAGGCACTGGGTTCAAGCCTCAGCACCACATAAAAATAAAAGTATTTAAAAAGAAAAGAACCTATTTGTATGATCACATTAAGGTGTTTTCTCCCCCCCCCCTCCTCTTCTTCTTCTTCTCCTCTCTCTCTGTCTCTCTCTCTCTCTCTCTCTCTCTCTCTCTCTCTCTCTC